CCCGCTGTTTATAGAGTCTTAATGGAATTCATACCCTTGCCTTTCTCCTTTCTCCCTTTTTAGTTCAGACCCCGCAGCTGTTTCCACTTTTCCACTTTCTCTCCAGCTGCTTCTGGGGAGGGGTGCTTTTCCTGTACTCTCCCCTTACTTTGTCTCCATCCTCTCCCTGCAAGCAAAAACAGCTCCCTGCCTTCCACAGCTTCTCTCTCCCCCACTTCACCTGTCCACACCATGTACCTGCTGAGTTCTGTGGTTCAGGTTGTGCAGGTTGTTGTGTTAATCGTCAGATCAGTTTCCTACTTGTATAGGATGGTTTATTGTTGATCTGGCTGTATTTCATGGATGCAAAATGCAAAAAGAACTTCCTTGCTGTTCCTGCATCTTGGCTCCCCAACCCCCCCCCCCCAGAGTGTCTGATTCTTGATTTCAGCTAATTTCCTGATCCCTGGTTTGTGGGACTGAACCTTACATTGGGCTCCATGCTCACCATGCTTAAGATTCTCTCTCCCTTTGCCCCTCTCCCCTGCTTATATGTTCTCTCTCTCTAATTTTTTTTTAACTTAAAGAAATAATTCCTGATAATAAGGAATTTCTGTCATTTAGATATTTGGTTTTTATATGCCTTAGAGATTTTTGTCTCTCATTTCCTAAATTACTGTATTCTTTTGTGTTTACTTGCTTTTTAATATTAAAACATTTAAATGTTTTAGTTCTTTTCAATGCATTTCATCTCTTAAATTGTGTAGAAAACCAAATATTCATTTATAAACCAAAGTTTCAAAAATACTAATTGTTAGTTAAAAATTTTTAATACATTAACTTCTTAAGTTACATAGAAACCAAAAAGTAGAGTTCCTAACTGTTGCTACAGTAATGACTCTTATAACTACCCATGTATTTATTTTGATTGAAATTTTATTTTTTCATGCTACTTCAAGTTAGTATGTGTGTCTTTTCATTTCACTATACAGGACTTCTTTGAGAATTTCTTGGAGAACAGGTCTAGTGGTAACAAAATCCTTCACCATTTATCTGTGAGTGTCTCATTTCTCTCTCACTTTTGAAGGACAGGTTTGGCAGACACAATTTTCTTGGTTAACAGTTTGTTTTCAGTTAACATTTTGAATATATTAGCTCACTACCTTCAAGCCTCCAAAGTATCTTACAAATAATCTGCTGTTAATCTTATGGAAGATCTTTTGTATGTTATGTCACTTCTCTTTCTTTGCACCTTTTCTAACCAAACTGCTGTCGACTAGAAGTCAATCAAATAAAAGTTTTGGAAAGACCACAAATGTATTTAGGTTAAACAGCATGTAACAATAATGGGTCAACCAGGAAGTCAAAGAAGAAATGTATAAATACATGGAAACAATGCAAATGAAAACACAGTGATCCAAAAGCTTTGGGATGCAGTAAAATGGTCCTAAGAGGGAAGTATATAGCAACACAGGCCTACATCAAGAGATAAAAAAAATCTCAAATAAACCACTGAATATTACACATAAAGGAACTAGATAAATAACAATAAATTAAGCCTAAGACCAGCAGAATGAAGGAAATACTAAAGATTAGAGCAGAAATAAATGATATAGAACCTAAAAAACAGTAGAACAGATCAATGAAACCAGGAGCTTGTTTTTTGAATAAAATTGATTAACCTTTTGACAGGTTTACCAAAAACAAAAGAGAAAGGACCCAAATAAATACATTCAAAAATGAAAGAGGAGAAATGACAACCAACACCACAGAAATGCAATTATACGAGAATATTAGGAAAAATTATATGCAAACAAACTGGACAACATGGAAGAAATAGACAAATTCCTACACACATATAAACTACCAAAACTGGAACAGGAATAAATAGAATAATTGAATAGGCTGATAACTGGCAAAATAATTGATTTAGTAATTAAAAACCTCCCAATAGGGACACATGGGTGTCTCAGTTGGTTAAGTGTCCAACTCTTGATTTCATCTCAGGTCATGATCCCACAGTTGTTGAGATCGAGCCCTGTGTTGGTTTCTGCAGTGTGAGCATGGAGCCTGCTTGGGATTCTTTCTCTCTCTCTGCCCCTCCCATGCACATTCTCTCTATCTCTCTCAAAATAAACATTAAACAAAACAAACAAAGCCTTCCAAAAAACAAAAGTCCAGGGCCAGATGGCTTCACAGGGGAATTCTACCAAACATTTACAGAGCAGATCATACCTATTCTTCTCAAAGAATTCCAAAAAATAGAAAAGGAAGGAAAACTTCAAAACTCATTCTATTAGTCTAGCATTACACTGACACCAAAAACAAAGATTCCACTAAAAAAGAGAATTACAGGCCAATATCCCTGATGAACATGGATGCAAAAAATATCAACAAAATACTAGCAAACCAAATCCAACAATACACTAAAAAAATCATTCACCATGATCAATTGTGGCTTATTCCTGAGAAGGAAGGGTGGTTTAATATTCACAAGTCAACCTAATACATCACATTAATAAAAGAAAGGATAGGGGCACCTGGGTGGCTCAGTCAGTTAAGCCTCTGACTTTGGCTCAGGTCATGATCTCACAGTTTGTGAGTTCAAGCCCCACATCAGGCTCTGTGCTGACAGCTTAGAGCCTGAAGCCTGTTTCAGATTCTGCATCTCCCTCTCTCCCTCTCCTTCCCCCACCCATACTCTCTCTGTCTCTCAAAAAAAGAATAAATGTTAAAAGGTTTTTAAAAAAGAAAGGATAAGGGCCTTATGATCATTTTATTAGATGCAGGAAAAAAAAAACATTTGACAAAGTACAACATACATTCCTGATAAAAACCATCACAAAAGTAAGCTTGGAGGGAACATATCTCAACATAATAAAGGCCACCTATGAAAAATACACAGCTAATCTGATACTCAATGGGGAAAAAACAGCTTTTCCTGTAAGGTCAGGAACAAGACAGGGAAGTTCACTCTCACCACTGTTACTTAACATTTTATTGGAAGTTCTATCCACAGAAATCAACCAATAGAAATTAAAGCATCAAAATCAGAAAGGAAGAAGTATAAATCACACTATTTACAGGAGACATGATACTATATATAGAAAATGTGAAAGATTTCACTGCTAGAACTGATAAATGACTTCAGTCACATAATACAAAACTAAAGTACAGAACTCTGTTGCCTTTCCATACACCAATAATAAAGCAGCAGAAAGAGAAACTAAGGAAACAATCCCACTTACAATTGCCTTCAAAATAGTACAATATATAGGAATAGATTTAACCAAAGATGCAAATGACCTATACTCCGAAAACCATTATATATTGATGACAGAAACTGAAGACGACACAAAGAAATGGAAAAACATTCCATACTCATGGATTAGAAGAACAAATATTGTTATATCTATACCAATCATAGCAATTTACATATTTAATGCAATCCCTATCAAAATATCTTCAGCATTTTTCACAGAGCTAGAACAACAACAACAAAAAAATTTGTATGGGACCATAAAAGACTCTACATAGCCAAAGCAACCTTGAAAAAAAAATCAAAGCTGGAGGCATCATAATTCCCCTCCTCAAGTTGTGTTACAAAGCTGTAATGATCAAAACAATATGGTACTGCCACAAAAATAGACACGTAGATCAATAGGACAGTAGAGAAACTCACAAAATGAACCTACAACTATGTGGTCAATTAATCTTCCACTAAGCAGTATATAATATCCAATGTGAAAAAACCAGTTGCTTCAGCAAATAATGCTGGAAAAACTGGACAGCAACATGCCAAAGAATGAAACTGGACCACTTTCTTACAACATAAACGAAAATAAATTCAAAATTAATTAAAGACCTAAATTATAGACTTGAAGCCATGAAAGTCTTAGAGTAGAATACAGGCAGCAACAAATTGGAATTTATCATGGCAACCTCTTATTAGATATGTCTGCTGAAGCAAGGAAAACAGAAGCAAAAATAAACTTCTGCAACTCCATCAAGATAAAAACCTTCTTCACACTGAAGGAAACAATCAACAAAACTAAAAGGCTACCTACAGAATGGGAGAAGATATTTTCAAATGACATATCTGATAAAGGGTTAGTATCAAATCTATAAAGATTTTATCAAACTCAGCACCCAAAGCACAAAAAAATCTAGTTAATAAATGGAAAGAAGACATGAATAGATATTTTCCAAAAGAAGACGTACAGATAGCTAACAGACACATGACACATCACTCATCATCAGGTAAATACAAATCAGAACCACAATGAGATACCACCTCACACCTTTCAGAATGGCTAAAATTAACAATGCAAGAACCTACAGGTATTCGAGTGCCTGCAGAGAAAGGGAGACCCTCTTGCACTGTTAGTAGGAATGCAAACTCATGCAGCCACTCTGGAGAGCAGTATGGAGATTATTCTTCAAAAAGTTAAAAATATAACTACCCCTATGATCCGGCAACTACACTACTAGGTATTTACCCAAAGGATATAAAAATAAAGATTAAAATGGGCCCATGAACCTCGATGATTATAGCAGCATTATCAACAATAGCCAAGCTATGGAATGAACCCAAATGTCCATCAACATATAATGAAATATTACTCAGCCATCAAAAAGAATAAAACCTTGCCATTATCAATGACGTGGATGGAGCTTAAGTGTATGATGCTAAGTGAAATAAGTCAGAGAAAGACAAATACCATATGATTTCACTCATATGTGGAATTTAAAAAACAAAACAGATGAATATATGGTGGGGGTTGAGAGAGAGAAACCACAAGACACTCTTAAAGATAGAAAATAACTGCAGATTGATGGAGGGAGGTGGGTGAGGGATAGTCTAGATGCATGATGGGTATTAATCAGGGCACTTACTATGATGAGCACTGGGTGTTGCATGTATATGATGGATCACTGAATTCTACTCCTGAAATCAACACTGCACTGTATGTTGACTAGAATTTAAATAAAATTTTGAAAAATAAGAAATCTGCACAGCGTAGTGTAGGAAAAAACAAAACTAAAAGGCCACCTATGGAATGGGAGAAGGTATTTTCCACGGAAATCTTTAGTAAAAGGCGAAAGATTTATATGATCTGAAGAGAAACCAGAGTATATTGGGAGAAGGTATTTTCAAATGACATATTGGATAAAGGGTTACTATCCAAAATATATAAAGAATTTATGAAACAACACTCAAAAGATAAAAAATCCAATTCAAAAAATGGACAGAAGACATGAATAGACATTTTCCCCAAGAATACATTCATATGGCTAACAGACACATGAAAAGATGCTCAACATCAATTATCTTCAGGGAAAGAGAGGTCAAAACCACAATGAGATATCATCTCACACCTGCCAGAATGACTAAAATCCACAACATAAGAAACAAGTGTTGGCAAGGATATTGAGAAAAAGGAAATCTCTTACACTATTGGTGGGAATCCAAACTTGTGCAGTCACTCTGGAAAACAGTATGGAATTTCCTCAAAAAGTTAAAAATAGAACTATCCTACAATCCAGCAATTTCACGACCATGTATTTACCTAAAAATACTAATTTAAACAGATACACACACCCCAAAATTTACCACAGTATTATCACAGTAGCCAAATTATGCAAAGAGCCCAAGTGGCCATGGACCGATGAATGGATAAAGAAGATGTGGTATATTTGTACAATGGAATATTAGATGTAAAAAAGAATGAAATCTTACCATTTGGCAATATCATGGATAGAGCTAGAGTCTATCATGTCAAGTGAAATAAGTCAGAGAAAGACAAATTACCATATGATTTCACTCATATGTGCAGTTTAAGAAACAAAACAAGCATAGGGGAAAAAAATGGAGAGGCTGGGAAACCAAGAAACAGACTCTTAACCATAGAGAACAAACTATGGCTACCAGAGGGAAGGTGGATGGAATTATGGGTAAAATACGTGATGGGCATTAAGACGTTCTCTTGCTGTAATGAGCACCAGGTGCTGTATGGAAGTGTTAAATCACTATATTGTCCACCTGAAACTAATATTACATTGTATATTAACATTTAACTAACTGATATTTTTAAAAACCATTCAAAAATTCCCTTTGGCTTTTGAAAGTTCTTTTTTTAATGTTTTATGTGTTTTTGAGAGCAAGCAGGGGAGGTGCAAAGAGGAAGGGAGCAGATGATCTGTAGTGGGCTCCACATTGACAGAAGAGAACCTGATGTAGAGGTCAAACTCACAAACCATGAGGTCACAACCTGAGCCAAAGTCAGATACTCAACCAACTGAGACACCCAGGCGCCCCTGAGAGTTTGTTTACAATGTGTGTCAGTGTGGGTCTCTGAGTTCATCTTACTTGGAGCTCATTGATGTTCTTGAATGTTTATATTCATGCATTTCATCATGTTTGGGAAGTTTCCAGCCCTTATTTATTCAAATATTTCTGCTCCTTTATGTCTCTTTTTTTTCTTTCTGATACTCCCAAACTATTATGTTGTTTGATAGTGTCTTATAAGTATATTATGACCTGTATGGTTTTCTCCAGTCTTTTATTCTTTCTGTTCCTTACACTTGGTAGTTTCCATTGTTGTATTTTTAAGTTAGCTAATTCTTTTCTCATCCTTCTCAAATATGCCTTGTGTCCCTTTGTTAACTTTTTCATTTCAGTTACTGTACTTTTAAGCTCTAGAATTTGTTGGTCTCTCTTTAGGTTTTACATCTCTTTATTAATATTTCCTTTTTGTTCATACATTGTTTTCTTGAATTTGTCTACATCTTTCCTTAGTTCTTTGAGCATCTTTAATATATTTGTTTTAAAGTCTTTGTCTAGTACACTTGTCATCAGGTCTTTTTCAGAGACTGATTTTTTTTCCTTTTAATGGGACCTACTTTTCTGGTTTTTTTCCTATGTTTTGTAATGTTTTGTGGAAAACTGGATATTTGGATATAATAATGTGATAACTTTGGAATTCAGATTCTCCCCATTGCCCAGGTTTTGATGTATTTTTTGTTTATTTTATTTTTGTTATTGTTTCAAGCTACCTCTGTGTTGAGTGGTAACCTGAGTTATAAATGTAAGGTTTTCTTTAGTCTTTTCTGAGCCTAGACCCTTCCCTAGGCATGTATTATCAATTTCTAATTTTCCCTATATATGGTATTTGTTTTTGAATATCTTAGTCTTTAATGTCTAGCTTCCCAAGGAGGGAAAGAGAAAAGTAAAAGGGTGAGGAAAGTCACCAGCTCTTAAAATTCCCTAGAAGTCACTTCAGGGAGAGGAGGGACTTGCAATAATGAGGGGAAATGCAACAGCAATGTCCACCCACCTGTTTGCACCACTGTGATCAGGGAAAAACAGAAATCAAAACACATATACCTGATATCTGGAGGACAACGTCTTTTTTGCCCATTCTGGCTTCCACAAACTGTGTGATGGTTGCTTCACAAAATCATGCACCACTGCTTGCCATGGGGCAGTAAGATACTGTGATAATAGCAAATTTTTATCAAAGTTAACCACAATTTACCATCCTTCTCTTGCATGTTGTAAAATTTCAGCAGAATTCAGACTTCCAAAAATAGTTACACTAGGTATATTCTGCCAGTAAAATTGTTGTCTAGGTGAGAAGACAGATTGTTGGTGCTTCCTCCTCTGCCATCTTCCCAGAATCCTCCTCCAAATTAAATTTCTTTTCAAAGAATCTCTTTTAAACAAGAATTCATACAAAGGATGTTTTCTTAACTATGTACTAGCAACGCATATGCAGAATATATTGACTTGTCTTAAAATCCTCTCCATTGTCCAAAATAAGTTTTAGAAACACTTGACTTGATCCCTGTGAAAAAAATTTTTCTTTGAAATTAATCAAGGAAATTCACAATATATAAAAAAAGAAAACTATTTCCCATGGCTCTAATAGTCTTGCTGGTATCTGTCATGTAATGTTTGATAAATTTTTATTTAAATATTTTGGCATAGTAGTTTAACTTAATGAAATCCAAACAAAAGAAAATATGTCTTTTACTCAACTTAACAGAAATGATGTATTATCAAAGATATGATTTTTGTCTCAGATATATCCTCTCTGGTATTCACCCTCAAAAGCCCTACTTAAATTTAAAGTCGCTTTATTCCATGATTTTCTACATGTATGGGGTAATTTAGTATTTAAGTTCCACTTGAAAAGTCAAGATGAACACCTTGAAACTGTTGGGGAAATTTATATCCAACACTTTGGAGCCAAAGATATATATTTGGTACCCATTTCCATCACTTATTTGGGAAAATTTGTCTCTAAGAACCTTCTATTATTTCTCAGCAAAACTGGAATGAAAATGCCTGCCTCATTGAGCTACTATAAGTAATGAGAAAATGTAAGTAGCATGGCTACTCCAGTGCCTTGCATATAATAAAATCTCAAACGTTGGTTACACACATATGCTGGTCACTACGATATTAATTATAAATAAAATAAGGGTAAATAAAAGAGGGAGAAGCTAAGATGGCAGCATATTAGAAGGATCATAGGCTTGCCTTATCCCTCCTACACAACTAGATAACTATCAAATCATTCTGAATACCCAAGAAATCAACCTGACGACTGACAGAACAAACTACACAACTAGACAGAGAAAGGAGGCTACATTGAGGAAGGTAGGAAGTGTGATGACATGGTTTGGGGCAGAAAAAGATCACCTGTGATGCAAATGGAAGGTAGCCATGGTCATGGAGAAAGGCTAGAAAAAGAGGAGCACACAGGGGAACAGAGGAAGAACACTTTTCCAAAGCCATTGGCTAGGAAAATGGGAGGGCCTGATTTTCATGAGTTTTTGCAACCAACGGGCTTGAAGAGTGGTGTTTTCAAGACCACTGGGCTTGTCTGGGATAGAACCCTGAGGGCAAAGTCTTATTCCTGTAGAGAGGGTGGGAAAAAAACCTGGGGAAATACAGAATGGGGTTAAAGAACTGAGGAATACCTGAAGCACACAGAGAAGAGATTGTTCACTCCTCTTGGAGAGCCACACTGAGAGGTGACATTCACAGAGACACCTCTCCAGGGACAAAGGAGCAAGCAGCACCTTTTGTCTCCCCATACCCTCAACATAAGCTCACAGCCACCTGCAAAGTGCAGCTGAACCTGACACTGGCTGCCTAGCCTGCTTGCTTCAGGTCCCATGCCCTTGCTCTCTTACACGGCTGCCCTTGTTGGTCAAACCTCCCTCAATCCCAGTGCACAGAGTCACTTCCTAGGAAGACCAGCATAGGCCCCTGCACACACCATGTCCCTAAAGCCTGGAGTTTTAAAAGTCAGAAAGCTTGGCTGAGATAGAGACCAGAGGGCACCTTGCTGCTCCTAGAGAGTAGGAGATCTGGAAACCCAGAAGATAACATGGAAACGTCCATCTGAAAATCACCTGGGGTACACAAGGGGAAATTGTTCACTCTTCTCAGGAATTCCCTGGGATCAATAAGCATTGAGACCCCTCTCCAGGGACAAAGGAGCTGGATAGAACCATTTCATTCCCCAACCCTCAACATAAGTGTAGAACCACCCACCTGTGGTAAACAGCACAGTGACAACACTGGCTGCCTAACCTGCTTACACAAGGCCCCACACACCTGCGCTCTACCAGTAGTACACTTCCCACGCAAGTTTGCTTCAGTTCCAGTGAAGAAGGCTCTTTCCCCACAAAACCAGTAGAAATCCCCACTGACACCATGTCTCCAGACCAGACAGTAGTGTTAGGCTTCAGTTCTAGTGGAAGTAGTATCATGTCTCATTTAACAAGCAGACCAGAGCAAACCTAGGTAAAACTCACCACACTGGCCAGAAATCAAACATTGCCCACTGCAGACAAAGAGCCTCTGCAGACAACTGACCTGAAAGAAAGAGTAGCAAAAACACAGTAGCATAGTGCATGCAGGACACATCAGAGACATTCCCTGAAGAGCCAGGACCTAGATAGTATATGACTTCTTCTTCATAAAGCCATCATTCTCAGGACAAGAAACATAACAGGCTTTTCTAACAGAGATAAGACAGAAAGAGACAAAATGTCTGGACAGAGGAATTCATCCCAAAAGAAAGAACAAGAAAAGGTCATGACCAAAGATGTAAATGAAAC